AGCGACCAAAGTAACGAATTCGACAGCTGCTCACCGAGCGAGGGACAACATTTTCAAGACAACTTTGAAGTCTGAGCAAAGGAAGCGAATGATTGTCATTGGTTTGTGATGTTTAGTCGGATGTCCGCGACAACCACTCAATCAAAATTGATGCCAGAAAGGTAATGCACTAGAGAACCTCATCTATGGTGAACAGGGTTAATAAGGATATTGATGCGATTTTCTGTTACCAAGTGTTATTTCATCTGTTGGTCGAGCTGTAGTAGAATTCCCTGAAAAAAATGTTTCCTGTTCACTTGTAAACGTGCTTATCTACATTTTGTAAGTCAGTATGTCCTTAAAACAGCCACCCTCGTTTTCGAAAAAGTTTGGTGATAATCGGTAGATTTGTTGCTGGGCGACGTTTCGCTTTTGACACAAAAGCTTCGTCAGGCCAAGTCACTAGGTTCCGAGGTTGGTGGAGATTTAAGGCGGAAGGAGAACCAATCAGCCAAGTCATGCTAAATCTCTGTTGGGTGACGGCCGAGGGATTTTAGTGTGTTAGGCTGGTTGAATAAGTGTTGGGTCGGTGAGGAAATCTACATGTGTTTGGGTCCAGTCTAGGGTCTAGTTCTTCGGGTTCGGTTCATTTTATGGTCCCCTTGAACGTCGTTTGAACCTTCTGTCCATCTGCGTGGGTGAGCTAGTGCTAAGATAGTTGTGGGAGAGGGATGCTGTGACCTTTGGTCGGTTGGGGTTTCTACCCCTACCCCCCGGTTTTTTCTAATGATCCTACGTGGATTGACAAGCACACCGTCACACTCCTTTACAGTGATTTAATGTAAACCAAGTTTGTAATGTACTACTCTAAGGTTGCTGAAAATCCGTCGACAGTCCACGACCGGTTTCGCCCTTTTTGGAGCTCATCAGGTAGGCGCAGTCCCCGGGTTTCCGTCAACCAAACTGCACGAAATTAGCGAATATACACTCATTTGCAAACTAACTTGGTTCTTCGAGAGATTCACCCGGGACCCAGCTGAATCTCTCGGTTTTGATGTTTCCAGGCAACCAAGTTTGATCACTTTCTGACACGATACATAGCAAATACATAGCAAAATATTATATTACCTCAAACGGTGGAGCCCTTATCACACAGATCAAGGTGACCTGGTCTCGTATTACAAAAGTCAGGACGATGGTACAAACAAAAGTTTGTAGAATGGGGGAACGGTCCCGTTACTAAAATGGAAAGTCTCTTTTATTTGCAGCGCATTTTACCATAGTACAATGGTAAAAGTAAACAGCTCGAATTTTCGTCGTGGAACTACTGAATTCGATCGAACTAAATGCCATCAACTAAGTGCTGAAATTTAGGGTCCACTATTTCAGGTAAGACCGCTAGGAAAAGTAAGCACTCGATCCATGGCAATAACCTACGTTAGGCATCCCTACATGCATGAAACTGCGTTGCTGACAGAAACCTTCAGATCTATGCAAACCATAAATATATAGTACAATAGACGGGTTTGATTGGTAGTTGTTTGAAATATCCATTTAGGAGTAGGCTTGTCTGGTGCAGTGAGAAAGTTCTTAGCACGTACAATTTTCTGAAACACAGATCGGTCGGCGGTCCTGGGGGAGAGGCATCAAAGTCTACACTAGGCTTGGCGTACACTAAAACTGGGTAGACGAAAAGGCTTGGGTGATCTTGGTTTGTTGAAGACACTCACAGTAGGTGAAGAGGCCTGGGGACAGTATCTTGCGTAAAACATGCAAAGACACACCAACTGGATCGTGTGCGAATAACAACTCGACTCCTCGAATACACGACACGACAAAAATGCCAGATGATCAAACGCATACATCACAGTAACCACATCCGTAACTCCTCTCATCACCCTTCTTCCGAATAACTTCCCCCGGTTATCCAGTACCTAACAGTCTGCTGTCACCCACCATGAGGGTAATTTCTTCCCTTGAGAAAGCCCGAACTCGATACTCAGTCATGCTAGTCCTAACTGAGCATAAAAACACACGACTAAAGTGCTTTCTTCACCCTGGGTTTGCAGCTTCGTTAAATAAGAATCATAAGAGTAATAACGGCAGTCAGTTGCGTTTAAAAAAACCAAGGCTGCAGTTGACTCTAGTTTGGTCTTCCCCCCAAAGCGACAAGTATTTATTCTCACATCTGGATTCTGTTGTATACACTAGTGGTGCAGTATCAGTCGGTTTGCAGCTGCGCATCGAAGGGATGCTAGTTTTTTCTCCCTCTAATTACCAAACTACGTAAAATACCCGTAGACAAAGCTCGGTTTTTATGTCGATTGCACCACTAGCCAGATTTTGTCCCAAATCTATTACCCTCATTACAATGCTGATCTCCTAACTTCCACATAGTCATCGCCGTCTAGACAATTCAGCGGAATTCAGGCTGGTGCGAATGTGAACTTGTCCCGTAGACTTCCTCTCAAGTATTTCAGACGACGAAACATTATTCCGCTGACTAGGCGCTGTTCGGCTGGCGCATTGATTGTCTAAGTCTTAAAAGTTCGGTTTTGGTTTAATGAATCACTTATCCACCAGGATATGGCAGCTGGTATAGGTGTGAACACGGTTCTGTAGTTAACTGTTGAAAGGGATTGGATGACTTCGAGAAAGCATTCAAGTATAGAATTGGTATATGCTTCCCAAACTGGAATGAGAAGATGCTATATATTAATTATATATAAAATATTATTATATTATATTA